CGGGTAATCAACATATCCTTCAACTTTCTTTATAGTCAATAATTCATTAGCTACTAATTAATATAATTTTATCTTTCACTATTAATTAATATAATTTTATCTTTCTGTAATAGTTTTTAAGAAGGCCATCAGAATCCATTCTTACATTAGTCAAAGGTCATTGTTGTTAAATTTGATGAGAAAATTCACCAAAGAAAGAAATTTGGTCAAACCGATCAAGACAAGATTTGCAACGGCATTCTTAACTTTGAGAGCTATGTACACACAAAGAAAAAACTTGAGAACTTTAGTCCTCTCAACCGAATGGAATACAAGTAAATTTGCAAAGGGAACTTTGAGGAAAGAAGTTGTCAATCTTATTATTTCTGTCCACTTCTGGAATGATGTTGTTCGGGCACTTACAGTTTGTAGCCCTTTGACAAAAGTATTTCGTTTGGTGGATGGGGAGAAAAAACCACCAATTGGTTATATTTATGAAGCAATGGATAGAGCCAAAGAAGCTATTGCACATGGTTTTCGTGGAGTTAAGAAGCAATATGAGAGAGTGTTTCAAATTATTGATGCAAGGTGGTCAGAACAACTCCATCAGCCGTTGCATGCTGCAAGCCATGTTTTGAACCTAGGATTATATTATCAAGCTCAAGAAGAGGGAACTATATCACAGACTTTGTGGACCGAGTATTATACATGTGTTGAGAAGTTGGTCCATGATACAACAATACAAGATGCACTAGTCGCTGAGCTTCCTAAGTACAAAATGGCGGATGGACTATTTGATTGTGGTCCGGCTAAAAGAGCTAGAGACACAAGGTCACCGGGTAAGTGGGTTGATTTAGATCTTACTTAAATTATTTGACTTATTTATTGTCACTAACCTTTAAATTTATTTTATTATAGTTGAATGGTGGTCACTATTTGGTAGTGAAACATCAAACTTGCAAAAGTTTGCCATGAAAGTATTAAGCATAACTTGTAGCTCATCCGGATGTGAGCGAAATTGGAGTGTGTTTGAACACGCAAGTAAAAATTTATATCCTATTTTTCATATTATATTATTATCAATATCAACTAGTTAATATCAATAACTTATGCACAGATTCATTCCGAAAAGAGGAATAGGCTTACACTATCGTGTCTCAATGATCTAGTGTACATTAAGTACAATAGAACATTGAAACGTCGTTATGATGCTCGTGATCTTATTAATCCAATTCGCTTGGATAACATAGATGATTCAAATGAATGGTTAGTTGGATGTCCCGAAGATCAAGATGATGAACTAATATATGAGGATGATGATCTTACTTGGGGTAGTGTTGCTACGGCAATTGGAGCGGACGAGAATATCTATCATCTTAGGGGACTTTCTTCAAGATAAAAAGTACTTGACAAGGGCAAAGGAGTAGAAAGTACATCTACAAGTTCATCTTCAAGTAGGACTCGGACACTAATTTATGAAGAATACGAGGAGGAAGAAGATGAAGAGCAATACAATGATGTAGAGGATTTTGATCTTCAAGAGTTGGATAATTTTGAAGAAGGATAGACTTTTAAAGTTTTGGTTTATTGTATTTTGAATTGTTTGGTCTTTAAAGTTTTAGACATTTTATGGTTTATTGTATTTTGAATTGTTTGGTCTTTAAAGTTTTAGACATTTTAGTATCTGCTATTGGTTTTTGAATTGAATATTTGCTAATATGTGTTATTGCTATTATGATTTTGGATAAAATATGCAATTAAATATTTTTAAGTTTTGGTATTAATTGGCGCATTTATTCAAAAAGGCAAGTGTCTCGCCGCTCGCCTCGCCGCGTGGCGAGGCAGGACCTTGTCGCCTCTCGCCGTCCACAACACTGCGTCTAAGTTTGGAAGACCAACAACTGCAACACACGGATTTCAGTTGTTCTCATGGATTTAGATATGCTTAACATTCTTCATGATTTGACATGGTAGACCTTGAGAAAGATGGATGGTTTTCATCTTGAAGTGTTTTGCTTCCAAATAATTGATATTAGAGCCTATATCATGACAAATCATATTGGACTTTTGTGTGTCCAAAGAAAAAGTTTCAAGCATATAGTAAGTGCTTCCCCAGCGTCAATCTAATAATTTGGAACTGGAGCTCTGGCCTACTTTTGAGAAATGTGAGCACAGAGAAAGGTCATAAAAGTTGCTATTGAACAGTATTCTATATAAAAAGTAATTTTATAGTATATTAGTTTGTCTTTTGAAAAGTACAAAAATACAAGTAAAAAGAGTGGTCTCACACAAATTTGTATGTATATATTAAAATTAATTATAGTAAATTAGTTTGTGTTTTTCCAACTAAAAGATATAGGTAAAAGAGTGGTCTCATACAAATTCATACAAATTTGTATGTACATACAATAGTAAAAACCAGCTTGAGGTGGAAACCAAAACTATTTTAACTTAGTGACTGCCTAGTGCAATAAATCAATAGCTTCAGCACATAATCAAGTTGTGTTTCTCTCTGTTCCCTCTTGTTTTATTTTCTCATAGTAGCTAGACAATTACTTGTACAGTTTGAAAAGGGCAGCAAAACTTCATGAGAAGGCTAACAGAACTCCATATCCATAAACGATATAAAGTTCTACCCCAGAAAACAAGTATAACTTGGCTGGCATTTGAGCATTTTTTGTAGATATGGAACTACATAGCTCATGATGTCTTGTTAACATATTTGAAGAGTCCAAGAATGTCTTAATGGCAAAATAGTTTCTTTGAAACTAATTAAAGTATACCCGGCGCGAACCAAACATAAGGAAGAAAATACCTCCCAATGATGTACACAATTTCACATCAAGTAGAAAAAGGTAAGGATACTCTTACCAAATAAGAAGAGATCACAATCTACCCAAGTGAAGTTAAGTGAGAGAACAAAATGAATTGCAACAAGTGAAAGACCATCGTCCTCTGAGTTGGGGAGAAACGAGGCAAGACAGGTTGCATGATGACCTTGTCACCACTGCTAGGCGGTGGTCAACACACTCACACCCAACTTCAGCCTCACACACACAGTCATGAATTCGTCTAACTCCTTAGGTGGCATTGTAAGAGTAACAACAAAGAAACCTACAGGAACAAGTCCCAACCTTTATCATAATCAAAGATAAACGAAGGATTAGGCTTCACGAATTTACTAAGGCATAGAACACACTCTACAGCCTTGGTCAAATATTTGCCTAAAATTTGAAACTTTTGCACATAGGTAGAGTTACAACTGCCCATGTGCTTGTCACATGGCTTAACAGAAATCCTTTCTGAAATTAACTAAGTAAAATAGTAATATTCCAACAGCTACACAACAATCAATTTTCAAATAAAGAAATCCACTTCATTTTCCTTAGCCGAATTTGTCTTGCCTAGCCGAATTTGTCTTGCCTACACTTAGAATATTTCAACCTTTCTCATACTTAGTTTTATTTCTTGTTTATGTTAGCTTTGTGCTTACATTAAATAGCCTTGCATTGCCATCATCAAGTCATCTCACAGCCTTGCCTTGCCGATGTCACTTTCTGCACGCATGCCCATCAGGTGTCATGCGCCTGTCACTGCCATCGTGCCCAAGTCTGCTTAACCAACACTTCAACATCCTGGTTCATTTCTGCCTACTAACACTTAGTCACACCAACTACATTGTTGCATCAAGCACATACCAAGGCCAACGTAAAAGTACTTGTCAACGTTGCTTACTTAGACTGGGGGTCTAACAAACCACCCCCACCAGTTGAAGTTGATGCCCTCATCAAGACTGTTTGAGGTAGTCCTCGTCTCCCCGATTTGGTCATCAAACTGCTATAACAGTGTTTCCCTTTGCATGTACGTGATGAAACAATCTAGCTGTGGCGATTGAGTGCTAGTGGGAAGCAATGAACAATCATTCTAGAGTGTTGGCTAAACAAACTTGGGCACAATGAGAAGGACATGTGCATGGCACCTGATGGCATGCCTGCAACCAATGGACATCGGCAAGGTAGTGTGTTGGCTTTACAAGCAAAGTTGTGATATGACACGACGATGGCAAGATACGGTTGTTCAATGTGAGCATGAAGCTGGCAGAAACAAGAAATAAAACTAAGTATGAAAGAAGGTTGAAATAGACTAAGTGTTGTCAAGGCAAATGAAGACCATGTGAAAGGCCCGTAGGTTGCTTTATTTGAAATTTGAATGTTGCATAGTTGTTTAGGAATCTCGCTACCTTGGGACAGTTAGAGTTATTGCCGACGTTTACCGGGGCTTCTATTCAAAGCTTATAACACTTCTCCTTCCGACCTTCCAGCACCGGGCAGGTGTCAGACTCTATACATCATGTTACCACTTAGCAGAGTCCCGTGTTTTTAATAAACAGTCGCTACTCTCTGGTATGTGCAGCTTTCCTAATCAAAAGATGGGAGAGCACCCCTTCTCCCGAAGTTACGGGGTCATTTTGTCGAGTTCCTTCAACATGGTTCTCTCAAGCGCCCTACGAATATCATAGTATACTTAGTTAATTTCATAATAGGATTTCTATTAATCCATGTGCTTACATGAGCAGTTGTAACCGCTTGTAGCTGCCTATGTGCAGAAGTTTTAAATTCTGGGCAGAAATTTGACGAAGGCAATAGAGTGTGTTCTATGCCTTAGTAAATTCGTGAAGCCTAGTCCTTTGTTTATCTTTGATATTAATAAAGGTTGGACTTGTTCCTGTACGCTACTGTGTTGTTACTATTACTATGATACCTAAGAAAACAGTCTAAGGACTTATACAAATTTGTGAGTGCGTGTGTGAGGCTCAAGTTGAGTGTGGGTGTGTTGACTGCCTAGCAGTGGTGACCAAGAAATAAATCAGCCCTGTATCAATTGGTTTAATACAAGTACATATGTATTGTCTGAGAATATTCCTTCAATTTAATTTTTTCAACAACATAGTGCAACTTGTCTTAGTTTTGACACGTTTAGGACATGCCGTTACTTTTGTTTACAAGGATATGCACAGCAGCACAAGATTGTGCCCAGTGACCTAAAGCTATAGTGTTGATACAGTATGGTTTGTGGCATATTATGATTCAAAACATTGCATCAGGTATCGTAACATGCTTTAAAAAGATAACAAAATGCTTATTACCTCACCCCTCTCTCTTCCATCAGTACCCTCCAAATCCATGACAATGGTCAATGGCTCAATGCCGACAGCATTTGCAATCCAAATTCCCTTGGTTGTTTGATTCCTGAAATGAATTTTGAAATACATTAATTTTAGCATGTGAAAGTTGAATTTTACTATGTTCCCTTATTCGGAAGAGGTATTTTGTTGTTCAAGTTCGTGTATGCACAAAGCGCCAAACAGAGAGGGAGAGCCTCACCTTCCTCTAAAAGCATCCATCTCCCTAAAATTAGTATAGAATAAATGGTTTAATAAGGTACTTTTCCCTGTGGACAAAAATGCATTTAGGATTAGCACTTAAACTAATCATAAACAAAATCTTATATACAAACAAAATAGAAAAGAAAAATATCACAACGAAATGAAAAAATAGAAAAAAACAAAAAACAAATTCAGAAGAAAAGAGACAAAGCTAGTAAATAGTTGAAGAAAAGCCGAATGACAGTAACATAACAAAAATTTCAAGTATATAGAGGTACCCACAAGGCTTATCCATTAAATTCTCATTAAACAGTAGTACAAGCGAAATAGTATCACAATGAATTGTGACTGAATAGAACAGAACAGTTAAGAGAAGATTTATGGGCAGACACCAACTTCATCCGTGTAGACCATATTTCAAAGGTGGTGGAGGTTTCATCTCCATAGCAAGAAAAAACCATCAAAACAAAATAAATGCTAAAATTGATATAAACATCTCCGTCTAAAATTTGCAAGCAGAAAAGATCCTCCAATTCTCCATTGAGACCAACTATGTTGGGGGTCAAAAAAGGGAAATTCACAGGGAAAACAACACCAAATTTAAAATTTTAAAATCCCCTTTTTCCAATTTATCAAAAAAAAAAAGTAGAAGCAGTGCATAACAATGGAAGATAAAAGAGCATACAATGGGGGGGGGGGGGGGTTATAAGAGAAGCAAAAATTGATACTAATAACATCCTCAAGTTCATCAAAATGTATAAGGAAATGAAAGAATTTCGAAGAAATAAAGCATACCACTACTCTGGGGTCCCATAATAGCAACAACAGCATAAGAGAGACCACAGCGAGGAAGTTTGACAGAGCTAACGAAATTCTGTAGACCTTTGAAGTTGAATTCTCCATTAGCATCTATTAGTTGCGTTGAGCAACAGTCTTCCTTACCCATGGAAGATTTTACAGTTCCTGGAAGCTAAAATCAACTATGAATTAGCAATATGGTCTGAAGATTGCTTCTAAGTATAGACTCCAGCTTTTCTTCTTCTTCTTCTTTTTTTGTTTTCCTTCCTTTTCTGGTTTGTTCTAGAGAGAATAAATATTACGTAACCTTGTTTTTAGGCAATCTTTTTATTCTCACTCCATTTATTTCTTTCCTATTATTCTTAAAACTAGCAAATTTACTCAAAAAAATAGTTTATTGTGCTAATTTTTATTTATATAATAAAGTTAATCTTAACTTATTAAAATATTTTCAACTACAGTATAATATAGTTAAGATAACTCTAACTTTGTCTAAAAAAAATTTTTGCTCTTCCATTATGAATTTATATGTAGAGATAAAAGGTTAAAATGTATGAATGAAATTGCAAAAGTTAAAATACTCGATCATTAAAGTTTTTTGGGACTTTTTAAAAAAAGTGACAATAACATTTTAAAATAAATGGGTGATGACATAAGTCTTAAGTATTAGGTGTAAATGATAATTATGTGATTAATAATTAAGGATTATGGAGTTGCCCTCAAGTTTATAAATTGACAATTTGGTCTATTAAATTAAATGAAGGGTAAAATGGTAAATTGACTAAAATCTAATTTAACCAATTTTAGTGGAAATTAAATTTGGGAAGCCACCAGCTGTATCAAAAGGAGAAATACAATATTTTCCCCACCTCTCGTCATATTTTTTTTCTCCTCTTCTTCTTCTTCGTCGTTCTTGTTTGCTTGCTTATCTTTTTCTTCTTCTTTTCATACATTATTGGTCTTGGTTGCTAGTCCTTGAGATTTCTTCTTTTCTTCTTCTTGAATCAGATTTAACTAATTTAATCAATGGATTAGATTTTGATTGCTCTCAATTGAAATTACTTCATAAATGATTAGGGTCACACATCATTGTTTTGATATGTAAAATTAATAGTTCTTTCAAATCATTCATCATCATTTGGGCACCTGCAATTTTTTCAATAATTTGCATTCGCGTTTCCAACAGATTGTTATATGTTGCAACAATTGACTATTGAAACAAATTATAGTCATATGTAGTAATAGAAAGGTTATTTCAATAGCAACAAAATTGACAGATGTTACAATGTATAACTTACGCAAGCTGCAGCATATAAGCTAGACATGTAGCAATATGACTTGCATGTCTCAATCGATATGATAGTTATATAATAACATTGTAAATCATTTTTTTAAGTGTTATATCAAATTTTTATTGCTTAATTATGGTTTAAAGTACTTAAATATTGTCAAATTTGACATTTTTATATTCCTAAATTGCTCAGTTTATCGATTAAGTCATCCTTGAAGTGACATATGTGGCAACATATGCACGTTCTGTTGGAAAAATTGCAATAGAAATGTCATATATGACAACATATGCACGTTCTGTTGGGAAAATTGCAACAGAAATGTCATATGTGGCAACATATGTATATCATAAATGATCTTTTGGGGGTTAATTGTCATCTAATTCAACATGTAACACTAATATATAGTCACATAACATGTCTAATACAAAATTATGGTCTAATACGACAATCTTCATCAATTCTATCAATTATTTTTACAAAGATTATCATTTACCACTAGTTCATCATACAATGACCAAGTAACTACATATGCTAGTTATATAATACCTTTGTAAATCATTGTTTCAAGTGTTACATCATATTTTTATTGCTTAATTATGGTTTAAAGTACTATAATTTTATCCAAGTTGAAATTTTTTCATTCCTAAATCGCTCAATTTATCGATCAAGTCATCCTTGAAGTGACATATATGGCAACATTTGCACGTTCTGTTGGGAAAATTGCAACATAAATGTCATATGTGGCAACATATGTATATCATAAAATGTTCTTTTGGAGTTAAGTCAATTAAATTGTCACCTAATTCAACATGTAACACTAATATATAGTCCTATAACATGTCTAAGTACAAAATTATGGTCTAATACAACAACCTTAATCAATTCTATCAATTATTTTTACAAAGACTATAATTTACCATTAGTTTATCATACAATGATCAAGTAACTACATATGATAGTTATATAACACCCTTATAAATCGTTATTTCAAGTGTTATAACATATTTTTATTGATTGGTTATGTTCCAAAGTACTAAAATTTGGTCCAATTTGATATTTTTTCATTCATAAATCATTCAATTTATCGATTAACCCATTCTTAAAGTGACATGTGGCAACATATGTATATTCTGTTGAAAAAATTGCAACAGAAATGTCATATGTGGTAACATATGTATATCATAAAATGGTCTTTGAGGGGTTAATTTAATTAAATTGTCACCTAATTCAACATGTAACACTAATATATAGTCCTACAACATGTTTAAGTACAAAATTATACAATAATATAACAACCTTTCTCAATTCTATCAATTATTTTTACAAAAGTTATCATATCACTAGTTCATCATACAATGATCTAGTAACTTCATATGATAGTTATATAACATCGTTGTAAATCATTGTTCCAAGTGTTATAGCATATTTTTATTGCTTAATTATGGTTCAAAGTACTAAAATTTGATTGGATTTTACATTTTTATTTCCTAAATCACCCAATTATCGATTAAGTCAACCTTGAAGTGACATATGTGACAATATATGCACGTTTTGTTGGAAAATTGCAACAGACATGTCAAATGTGGCAACATTTTTTTCGAGATACTATTTCAAAAGGAATAACAACCTAACCATCCTACAAATAAATAAGTGATCAAAACCACTAAAAGTCTTGATTTAATACCAATAACTATTATATTTTATATTAGAAGATATCAACGACAAACTAGAAATGATGAGGGCAACAACACTTTGTAAAAGAAAATCGCAACATATTATCATTGATGTTGTGGAAAACATAACAAGAATTTGAATTATAAAGAAATAATGGAACGAGAGAAAGGAAAGAGAGAAAAGAAAACGAAAATTAGTAAAAATAAATTAAATTTGAAATATGAAACAAAATGATATTTTTATACCTTTATATTTTATTTTTTAATTCTTTTTGCTAATTCATAGTGTGACACCTGTTGCCACATCTATCATTTCTGTTGGAGTAAATGCAGATAATTTTATAATTTTTTATAACAAATGTTATATATGTTGTCACAGACACCACTTTGGTAACAATAAAATGCTAACACATATCTCCTTTCTGTGACATATGTTGCCATATAGCTTTTTTTTATGACATATGTTGCCACATATCTTTTTTCTGTGACAAATGTTGCCACATATCTTTTTTCTGTGACATGTATTGTCACATATCTTCTTTCTGTAACATATGTTGCACATATCTTTTTTATGTGACATATTTTGTCACATAATTCTTTCTGTGACATATGTTGCCACATATTTTCTTTCTGTGATATATGTTGCCAGATATATCCTTTCTGTTGGGCACATGTAGACTGAGTTGTTGTCATGGATGAAGCTTCTTGTATCAAAATGAACAAGGTAAATAAAAAAATATTGAGATTTTACAATTCATTATAAAATAATAATAGCAGTATGTTGCAACAGATGGATAGTTTGTTGCCATAAATTAAAATTATGTTGCCACATATGTACCTGTTGTTGCAACACATAAAATTTCTGTCGCAACATATAGATCTTATGTAGCTACATATGAATCATATGTTTACACAAATGTACAGATTATTGCAACATTTGAATCTCATGTGGCAACAGATGACCATTTTGTTGTCATAAAATGAGATGTTACAATATATGATAACTGTTTGAATATGCACCAACGTATCACTAAAATGTTACAACATACGCTAAATATTTCAACAAATGAAATATATTTTGGACGCCTGAACAACCCTACATTTCTAAAATCATATCAACAGAATGACCACAAAAAGAACAACAACAACAACAAAAAATGACTTTTCACTAAATGATAACAATACATATACATTTCCTCAAAATAAAGATTTTTTGAGTTGACTGATTTTCTTTCAAAAATAATAATTAATGCACATCATTAAGTCGATTATTCAATTTTTACATCTACAAAATGTTTTATTGTTTATTAATCCAAGAAAAAAACTTCAAAAATTGTAAAATATTTCAAAAACATAACTTACCAATTTCTAGTCGAACACGATTACAGTTTAAAAAGATGAGAGAGTAATCGAGGACTGGAGAGGAAGAGTAACAAATGGAGAGAAAAAGTAATGAAGGATTTTTGAATTTCTAAGGAAGAAGAAGAACAATCCCCTAAGGGAGGAAGAAAAGAAGAAAGAGAAGAGAGAAGGGAAGATGAAAAGATTTTTCTTTTTAAATGATTTGGTTTGAATTATAAAAGTGTGCTTTTTTATATTTTATAAAAGATTAAAAAGTTTTAAAAGTATTAATTTGATCTCATATTTACTTAATTACATTTTAAAGAGGATTTGACTAGCTCATAGTCAATCTGTCGCCAAAAACAAAAACGAGACATATTCGACACTTTTCCCTTAATTTTCTCGAGTCTCTTTAAATTGTTTCATCAATCTCATTATTAAGTATCATATCTAGTTTGAAGATAAAAAATTGTGACAATTAAACACTTAAAGTTTTCATCCGATAAAATAAAAAAGAATTGCAAAATATAAATGCGATAGAATGTGTGCACCTTTGTCAAGTATGAACATGATTCTCCCTAAAACTATTTGAATGTGTAAAGCTATGACCGGAATTCAAAGTATGTTATTTGATAATGTATTTTTAAAAATAAATATTAGAAGATCAACAAAAATATATAATACATAATTTGTATTTAAAGATGGCATTGGATTATTTATTGAACAGAATACATAGTTTTTTACAACATATTGGTCCAAGGCTAGGACCCAATTGGGCAAAGAAGCAAAAGAAAAAGGGTTTCATAAATATACAATAAACTAGTTTGTTTATACAAAAATATAGTTCAGTTTTCGTTTACATAAAATACAGTGCAAATTAGAGATACCATAAAGTCCAAAAAAAAACAAGTCAAATTAACTTGTTCAAAAATGAAAAAGAAAAAACTGATTTTTCTATGTATCGTCGTTTAAACAATGATCTTCTCTCAAACTTTACCAAGAAATTCAATTTCACTGAAAA